TATATATATATATATATATATATATATTACATGTATATTATATGTACAATACATGCATATATACCATATTTGTAGTTATTTAAATTACGCGCCGAATTGGTTTTCTGGACTTATAAACGCAATTAAACTACTGTAATAATATCACGAATTGAATTAAATTGCTTATCAATTATCATTTATTTACAAATGATTTGCACATGTGTTTAATAAATTTTTAACGCAACTTGAAAATGAGGTATTAGTAAAGACACATATAATATTAAGAACTTATATTAAAATTATTAAAAGTTATTTAATAATTTTTATTATTTTACAAATCCAAAAATAATAAAATTATTAGATTATGTATAATGGAATGTTAATATTTATTATACAATTAAAATTTTAAGATTATAATTTTAAGTTATTATTTGCAATTTTTGGTGCGCGCGCGCATGCGCGTATGTGTAAAGTATTATTTTTTTTAATATTAGGTGTTGGTAATTATTACCATGGTGGAAAAATTTATCCCAATGTGTCCAAAATTGTCCGAAATGTAGAGTCAAAATATGTTCGAATTTATTCTAAACTTTTTTCTAAATTGTTTTTATTCAAAATTGTCAAAATATACAAATTCGTACAAATTCGGATAAATTCGGACAAATTCGTATAATTACAAACAAAATGAGATATTACAGTATATTACAGACAAAATGAGATATTTCCAAGTTTCGACAATATCTGTCTAAATACAATATATCAGAATTTATTATCTTTTTTTATATTTTTCAGATAAACTCTCACAAAGGATCCGCATAAATCTTATGAGAATTGAATTTCGGTCGAATTGGCTGAAAATTTGATATGTTGAAGATCTTGTTGATAAAAAATTTCCACGGGCACAATCCCCTCTAATGAATTGTTTCACTTTTACGAGGTGTCTTTTTTTTAAAATGAGCTAATATACTATAATATCTTATTTTCAATGAGTACGATACATTCCTATGTCACTATTTGCAATTTTGTGTATATTTTTAAGTAAAAAAATATTATAAGGATAAGTTGAATTGATTGCTTCTTATAAAAAAGCTATAAAGGTATCGAGATCGACAACTTGATTTTAGAGATTTAACCATCCCGATTGTGAGAGGCGGAGGGACTCCAAATAAACAAGCACCTCAATTTGTGAGAGGCAAAAAGACTCACAATAATCAAACACTCCGAATTGTGAGAACCAATCAATATTATCTATCAATTTATCTTTATAACTCTTTACTTAAAAATATAAATAGAAATGCAAATAATGACATAGTAACGCATCGAACTCGTTGAAAATAAAATATTGTAATATTATATTAACCAGTTTTAAAAAATGAGTCATAGAAATGAAATGGTTCATTATAATTATGCCTGCGAAGACTTTTTATTAAGACAATAAGATCTACAACATATCAAATTTTCAGCCAATTCGACCGAAATTCAATTTCCATAAGGTTTTTGCGGGGTCTTTTTTGCACCAGAGCAGCGTGTAATGTTTATACATGTATAATTGAAAATTTTTTATAGGGATAATAATAATGGATCACTATTTCTTCTAAAATAGAACATTGCTTATAAGTCTGCAATGTTAAAACAAAGTCGATTAGAATCAACAAGAAAGCAACAATGATTTTGTAATAGTCGCGTTTCAGAATGTTTATTTTGTAATTGTTGGAAATTTTCTTCACCCTGATTGGATTATATTTTCGGATATAAAAGTATCCAATGAGCGTGAAGAAAACTTGCAAACAGTAGGAAAGTAAACATTCTGCTGAACGCAACTAATGTAAAAATTACTTTTCTTTTCTCTTGAGACTTTCTTCTATCTTGTAAATTTGACTTGTAGTATTTCACTTACACCTCATAATACAAATTTGTTTTCCGAATAGAAGATGTAAGACGTACACGTAATTATTGCTATTGAAATATTATATAAATATAAGACATATAGCGTTTTCGAACAGTTTTTATTTTATTTCAGGCATTGAGGAAACTGTTAAACTTGTTCGGGCGGCCGGAGGTACGTGTTATGGCTACGTTTGCGACTTGTGCGATCGAACAGACATATATAAAAAGGCTAAAATTATCAGAGAAGAGATCGGCAAGGTAAATACAATTATTACGTATTTTGCAGGTTGGCAAGTAACGAGTTACTTGTAACGTCGTTACCTTGTTATAACTATTTGGTAATGATTCACATGGTGAATTTTTTATGACGTTAATGCTAACATCGAAGTTAGAAAAGTCAACTGTTACTTGTAATGGGTTGAAAAAGTCATTCGTTATTGGAAAAAATAATTCCTAATTTGTAACGCGTCACTTTTTATTCGTTACTTATTACTTTTTTTTAGTAAGTAACGCGTAATGGTGACAAGTAACTTTTCAAAATTACTTTTTTAATCTTAACACAGCCTTAGCGTTTAGTTAGTTAGTGTTGCCATCATAAAAAATTGCAACATTGTCATCAAATTGTTTACCATAAAAAGTAACGACAGAGTAACTGAAAAGTAAAGTTTGCCAACTCTGGTATTTTGATAATATTGTTTTATGAAAGATTAAAATTATTCCAGTTTAAATAAGTTACAAGTATAAATATGTTACAAACATATGATAATAGTATCATAGAGAATAGTATCGTTTATCGCGTTCACAAAAAGTTATATCGAGTTAAAATGATTCCATTAATTATTTAGTAAAAATTATTCTATTAATTATTTAGTAAAATTAATCAAATAAAATTAATCGAAAATATGTTTGCTCGAAACATAATGTCGAAAGACAAATAGGTTAAAGGCTCTTCTCTTATCTAAAAATTTGCTTATAAATTATAATATCAATGCATTTAAGGGGTGTGTTCCGAGTACGCATGAAGTGCATGATGCATTGTTTATTCTTGTTGTTCATCAAATAACAAAGAAAAATAAAACGATATATCATGCGCTTCATGCGTAACTCGGAATGCACGCTAAGATTATTTTCTTTGTTATTAGTTTTGATTTATATCACGTGTTGACAATATGAGTAGCTTACGAATGCTTGATACAGTGTGAAAGAAGCGTCTTTTTAGGAAACGAATTATCTGCGATTAGCCAAGTTCATCGCGCGATGAAAACTTTTTTGACAATATTATAAAGTTGTTTATGTTACGCTATAGTATTGCGGTACGCTGGGCTCGGTATGTGAGTTCGATTTTAAGAACTACGAAAAACATGGCTTTTTGTGGTTTTAGATATAACTCTGACATTTTATGTTCAGTATAATATGTATTATGCATACTTTCTCTAATCGTTATTTTTACTTGAGTGCAAGTATTCATTTCTTTGCAAGCACAAAAAAATTCGTACAAGCTTGAAATAACACTTTCAATAAAAAACAATTATTTTTTCTTATTTTACTTTTAATTTTTTCTTATTTTACTTATTTTACTTTTAATTAGATAATATATTATAGGTAACGGTTCTTATCAATAATGCGGGCATCGTTACGGGAATGAAATTTCTGGACACTCCGGACGAATTTATTATCAGGACGATGGACGTTAATATTATGAGCCACTTTTGGGTAAGTAGAAAGTCATTCCTCGCACAAAATTATTCCAATCGCTGGAGTAAATTATCTCGTGTTATTTATATTGGTGCGAGAAATTGAACACCGATATAGCGAATGTGATTTCATTTACTGCGAAATTTTTAGAAATCTGAATTATATTAATTACTATTTGGAATAATTTGAAAATTTTTTTAAGGCGAAGAAAGTAGAATCGAGATATTGTCGAGAAAAGAGGTCTTATTCGTTCTTAGCCTTTCGCGTATAGATTTTGCAATAAGTCATTGATTGCGAAATGATTGAATCGATCGAAATATGCGACTAATATTTTTAATTATATGATTTACCACAAATTGAGTTCGAATTCAAGAAATATCGTGAGCTGCGGTCTCATTCGGTTATCCAGAAGAATCAACGGAGAAAGGCATTCCATTTCGTTCCTCCCGTTTGTTGCCGTTGGTCAGGTGCGGTTGGTCAAGAACCGGTCAGATAGGTTGTCGACGAACAAGCAGTACTATAGTATACTGTAGCATAATCTGTATGTTGCGACACGCATGAGCTAGCGGCACGCTTGCTAAACACAAATAATTCCTTAATTCGAATTCCTACTTAATCGACGATCTGCTCACAGACTTTCATTCGTTTTGAATCGTTGTAAAATGTAATTACGTTGATTTGATTCTTGTGCATATATTGTATTTACTCAATATATTATTACTCACTATGTGACTTTATGCTTCGTACAATACACACACATCAAAATTAAATATTTCTGTCGTAATAATTGCCATATGAGTATTATATTGCGTAGTATATTCTCGATAATTTTCTCTGCAATTTTTTTGTAGTATTATTCTTGTTCATAGAGCTACTTAGATTTTTAATAATTTTAATAACTACTTAATTAAAATTTGTAAAACATGATTTATTAGTGTTAATTATTACAGTAAAAAATGTGTTTACAAAAGCAGCTTAAAAATATATAAGATAAAAAATAAAATGATATTAAGACCGATATCCATAGTCGATTCTTACATTTGAGACTATCTTAAGTACAATCTTAGTTATAAATCAATCAGAGAGTTGTATTAGCATTTTAAGATATTACTAAAAAGGTCTTGAAATAAAAAATATGAATACGGGTCTAAATATATAGGAAATATTTAAAAAATCGACAAATATAAAAACAATATTATATTAAGAGAAAATCAAGAATAATACGCAGATGCATGTATGTGTATACTTTAATTTGCATGTGAACATCCTATGTTGACTCATATTGGGATTATTTAATTTGATAGATTTAGGCCCGGTTGTTCTACCTTTTGATAAATTTTACCTGTTGAGTAAATAGGAAAATTACCCAATTACATACGCGGATTGTCAGATTTACATAACAGATAAAATTTACCAAAAGGTAGGACCGGCCGTTAATCACTTAAGCCTGTTTCTTTTATTTTTAGTTTTACATATATATGCATGTACATGTATATTTGTCAATACATATATGTACATATATGACATATGTTGACTTTTATATATATTTAGATTAGTATTAATATTTATTTTTTTAAGACTTTGTTAAGTAATGTTTTAAAGATGCTAATACAGCTCTTTGATTGGTTCATGACATCTTAAGATTGTACTTAAGATTGAACTTAAAAAAAACTTAAATATATACATAAGCACATATATAATTAATATACATGTCTCGAATTTAAATGTCTAAACTTCGTTATATGTACACGCAAGCACGCACGCACGCACATACGCATATATACAGAGTGTTTGTTAAGTAACGGTAAAACTCTCGCATGGGGATAGAGCGAACTAAACTAAGTTGAAAAGTCCTCTACCATTTTACAATTTTCGTAATAATAAAATATTAATTACTAAAAATCGCCGAATATTGGTTTTCAATAATTTTTTATTCAAGTACTTTAAAAAAAATCAACTTTACAAATAAAACAGCAAGTGATAAAAATTGGTTTTTTTTTTGTAAAGTTGATAGTACTTGCGTAAAAAATTATTAAAAACCAATATTTGGTGATTTTTAGTAATTGACATCTTGTTAATTATTGCGAAAATTGCAAAATGATAAAGGAATTTTCGACTCATTGTCAGTTTAGTCCGCTCTACGATATCTCTATACGAGAGTTTCATCATTACTTATTGTTGGGTTGAAGGATTGATATAAACGATGAGACACAGAGATGTGAATTATGAAAGTATTTTAATGACTGAGTCAGATACTGAGTCTTACAAAGAAAAAGGAAAAAAATATGTTGAAAAACGAAAAAACAGTGCGTGAAGCGCCAAGGTAAGCAAGCGTCTGACTAGATTCAGAAAGCATAGATAGCGTCCAGTAATGACACGACCAATGAGGTTAATGGAAACACATTTTTTCAACATCTCCTCTTGTTCTTGACATCATCCCCATCTGTATAAGGCATCGAGATATTGCATACCAAGGTAGAGACTTTGTTAACAGGTCAGCTGCTTGCTTATCTGAAGGCACATATGTAATGTTGACTTTCTCAGCTTCCTGTTCTTGTCTGATACGATGAAATCGAACTCCAATATGTTTAGTCCTTTTATGAAACTCTTGGACATCGCTATGGCTGCCTGATTATCTACCTTCAATTCTGTTGGCTTTGTCTGTCTTAATCCAATAGACTGCATAAGTGACCTCAGCTATAGAAGTTCTTTAATGCTTCCGAGATTGACATATACTCTGCCTCTGATGACGAAAAAGCAGTAATATGTTGTAGCCTTGATGCCCACGCAATTAATCCGCCATGGATAAGAAAAACACATCCAAATGTTGATCTTCTTTCTTTTAATTCACCAGCATAATCGGAATCACAATATCCAATTAATTCATCTGATGATTCTCCACAGAAGTATAATGAAACATCAATTGTGCCTTTGAGATATTTTATAACACGCTTTGCTGCTTTCCAGTGAAATGATTGTGGGTTGTTTGAATATCGAGCAAGCCTTCTTATCACGTGAAATATCCGGTCTTTATATTATAGTAACATAATTTAAACAATCAATTGCTTCCCGATAAAGAAAGCGATTTTCTTCACCTTCGGCTTCAGTCAATTCAGTAGATGAGGATTTTGCAGATTTACAATCTTCCATTCCAAAACGACATAACACTTGTGAAATGTATCCCTGTTGATTAATATTAGGTGTACAAAAAAGTTCTGAGCTTTTTTTTGTAAAATTCCCTTTCCCATCGTATGTAATCGTACGGAAATGGCTTGCTGCGTAACGCCAAGCTGTTCTGCAAGCTCCTTTTCAGTTTGCGCAGAGTTTATATCCAGCAGTGCTTGCAATTCGTCCGTTTCAATCTTTTCAGGGCGTCCAGCACGCGATTCATCTTTAAGACTGAAATCTCCTTGGCGAAACTTTTGATACCACCTTTTGCATGTTGCATGACTTACAGCGTTCTCTCCATATGCAGCACAAATCATTTCAGTGGCTTCAGCAGCATTTTTCTTCAGATGAAACGCGAAGTGGATGGAAAATCGAATATGCTCTTTTGTAATTGCCATCGTGAACACTACTGATTTTTGAGGTTATGTGCATCAAACGCCAAACCGTATCGCATTTCAGGAGGTTAAATGTTACTGTTTTAAAACCCCAAAAGGGCGGGAAGATATATAAAATTTAAATTGTTATTTCGGTTGTATCAAATCTAAAGCTCAGAACTTTTTTGTACACCTAATACAAAGCGTTCCTCTCGTTCGATCGCGAGTTATTTCCATTCCAACATAGCACGTTGGTTCATGACATGTAATCTCTGAGACCAGTGAAGAAACAAAAGTATCCAATACTTCTTTTCGTTTACATGCTATTAAGCCATCATCTTCATACAAAGATAGCAACATCCAGTTATCTAGATGAGCATCCCTTACAAAAATGCATGGATCCGCTTCTGATTGTTTAAAATCGACTTGACAAAGTTATAGAATTTATCATTCCAGTTTCTGGGCGCTTGTTTGAGTTCATAATGTCCTTTTATTAAGTGATATACATGCCCTGTTCCATCTTCATATTCTTTGAGTTGTTCCATGTATATGTTTTCCTAAACTATTCAGAAAGGCCGTCTTCACATCAAACTGTACCAGTTCCATATTGTATTTAGTTGCTACAGTTAAAATTGCTCTTACCGACTCATAACGTACAACAGGTGAAAGTCTTAAAATAATCTATATCTTGTGTTTGACTAAATCCCCGAGCAACCAGTCTTATCTTGTAACGTTCAATTATATCATTAGACTGCAATTTTGATTTGAAAATCCATTGACATGAAACTACAGGTTGTTCATCTGGAAGAGATTTGAGTTCTCACGTTTTATTCTTGAGTACAGAGATGACATTTCACTATCCATTGCTTGCTTCGGAGTCCTCTCTTGAAATCGCACCTTCATACGAAATTGGATCCAAGGATACTTTCATTGCAGCAATACGAGTTGACTTGTCCATCCTATCCCGCAACACTCAGTCTGACAGAGGTACTGATTTCTGATAAGATCGTGATCCTGGTGGCCGTCCTCTTTTTTCCTGAGGCTCCGGTGAACTTTTAATTATCTCTCCTTTGTCTGAGTAAAATTTATCATTAGAATCATCATCAGATCCTGTATTATCCTTGACCTGAGACTTACGAGGGCAAGTCAATAAGTTCTTAGAAAATCTGTCAAAGGGCACTCGCAGTGTCATGTCACATTACTTTTTGACAAGTAGCATCTTTCAGCTGATTACTGTCAAATTTTGAGCAGAATTTATTGCGTGGTTTCATTTCTATAGACGATTAAAGCGAACAACCTTTGTATTTTTTGCAAAATGGAAAAAAACGAATTTCGTGCAGTGATCAAACATCTACATATGAAAAGTTTAACGCCAAAAGAAATCAAAGCCAAGTTGAATAATGTTCATAGCACATCTGCACCAGCGTTTGCGACTGTATGTATACAATTGGATGAATGAATTTAAACGTGGTCATA